GGCCCAGGAGAGCACCCAAATGTGGCTTCTGTCCTACAAAAATCCTTCCCTGGGAGGGTGGGGAGGCCCTGGCCCAGGTTGGTCAGAGAAGCTGTGGCTGCCCCTGGATCCCTGGAAGTGTCCAAGGCCAGGTTGGAGCAACCTGGTCTAGTGGGAGGTGTCCCTGCCCATGGCAGGGGGTGGAACTGGATGTTCTTTAAGGTTCCTTTCCAACCCAAACCATTCCATGATTCCATGTTTGGGAGGTCTGTTGACTGAGGCCTGGGGGATGTGGGTATTCACTGAATCTACTTCAGCCATTTGTAAGTTCCTAAGCTCCCAAGATACTCCAAACTGAGGGCTGAGTTTATCCAGAGAGCCATCCAGAACCCTGGAATTGGGAGCCAATCACTCACCATTAACTATGTGAAGGAGCCCCATCCTTTAAGGTGGTTGAGATCAAAAGTTGGCTGCTCCAAGTGGCAACACCTTTTAATTTCTGTGGGTAAGAGCAACCCAACTGCAGAGAGTTGGCAATTAGAAACAATTAAAAAATGTTTCACAAGAATGTTATTCCAGACAAACCAGCCTGAACCATTCCAGCACAGCCAGATGAACCATCTCAACTTCTGTTTTTAAAGGATATCATGACTCATATTTTTATCAGAAGTGAGGTGCTGCCCCTGAGTCCTCGATAAAGTCACCAAAACTGCTCCTCCAGCCTCGATTGCTTCTGCTTCCTAGAAAACCATCACTTTGTGGGGTTTAAAATGAGATGTTTTGTTGCTGGAGAGGCAGAAAAAAAATGTTCCTCCCTGTTCCATGGCCAGGCTTAGAGGTTGGAATCCTTTTCCTGTTTGTCCCCTGCTGTCAGAGGAGGGTGGTGGAATGGAGAGAAGATAATGGTGCTGATTAGAGCAGCTGGAAAATGCAGCCACCTGAAAAGAGCCCCAGCTCTGCTGCCAAGAGTAAAATTCCCAGACATCTGGACTTGGGAAGCAGTGCCTGCAAAGCTTTTCAGGTCTGAGTGCTGGCATTGCTGTGTTGGAGGGATTTGGGATTAGCAGGGAAAGGTACAATCCAGTGTGCCATTGGAGGCACTGAAAAATTCAGTATAAAATAAGCCACGTTTTCCTTCCTGTTCTCCTTTCCATTCTACACAATTCCTGGCTCTTCCTGGCTGCTGCCTGTGCTGTGCCCTCATCCTGAGGGTGTCCTTGAGTGAGGCATCATCCCCATCCCTCCTCCCTCAGGTCCCTTTTCCCATAAAAACACTCAGTTGATCCAAAGAAAAACCCAAATGGTCCAACCCCCCACCCAAATTCAGCTCAGTTTTAGATCATTTTATTCCCCAAAGGAATAATTCCATCATTTCATCATTCCATGATGTTGTTCCTCAGGGTTAATTCAGGATGGAGTTTGAGAGAGCTCGGAGTGAGGCGTCATCCCCATCCCTCCTCCCTCAGGTCCCTTTTCCAATAAAAACACTCAGTTCATCAAAAAAAAAAGCTCCAAATGGCCCAAACCCCTCCCAAATCCATGTCAATTTTCCATCATTTTATTCCCCAAAGGACTAATTCCATTACTCTCTAATTCCATGATGTTGCTTTTCAGGGTTAAGTGAGGGGATGGACTTTGGGAGAGCTCGGTGAGGTGAATCAGTCCCTCCCAAAATCCCCAATTTGTTCTTCCCTGGGAGTGTGAGACAAGACAGGTGAAATCCATGGAGCCTGATGATCCCAAGGCACAACCAGGTGCCTGAGATGGTGCAGATGAGGGTCCACTAATGAGTTGTTGGCTGCAGCAAAAAGACTCTTTCTTTTTGTTCCCAGTCTGAACCTTTATTGATGGACCCTCTGACTCCATAGTTTTGAGACCATGGCTACTCTTTGTACCTCTTTTTTTTTAAAGCAGG